TGAAATATGTCATAATCATCAGTGAAAAGCCATATTGTTTCCCAAAAACAAGACATTATTAGCAGATCTACACTGACTCACATCTTTAATATAAACATAGTCAGTGTTTCTCAAGATTAAATTTATCTCTACAGCAATGGTATTATGAATAAAAATGAAATGATTTCTTGCTGGAATGAAAGGCTTACCTAGATCACTCTAACAGAGAACAAGCAGAAAACTCCATTTTAATTTTATAACCTTTTTTATTTTGCAAAGACATTTTCACAGGTTCTTTTTTATCCTCTGCATAGTTACATGCATAAAACAGAAAAGTATCAGGATATACTGTTTAGATCAGACACATGGTGGTAGCAGTGTACCAAAGAGCCAAACAAAATTTCAGCATTTTTATTTAGATATATCTCTACAAATATTCTAAGCCAAGTCTCTAAAGTAAAAATAAAGTTTTTTTTTCTTTCAAATTCAACTACTATTGGTTTACTCATTGCTGTATATTTTCTCTCCCCATTGATAGTTTATTTTGTTGGTTCCTCAATAACTTTTGATTTCATTATAATTCTTACTTTTAATTCACTTGAGAACAATTTGTAACTTTAAAGCTTAGAAATGTCTTCCTTGGTGGTCAAAGTTAAAATCCAAGGGAAGAAGCTGAAATTTTCTAGTCACATAAAACAGTAAGATGTGGAGTGTAATATAACAAGGAGCTCTATTGTGAAGATGCTATGGAATGGAGAATGGAATATTATTAAAGCAAACATGTTTCTGAGAATGTATTTTTAATGGAAGAAACACAGTGACACTTCCTTTCTCTCTCCCAAAGAGATTTATATTTCATTCCTGCCTCTCTCAAAGACATCGTTCTAGTATGTCAGAGAAAAACAGACCATCTCTGAAGGAAAACCTTTGGCACATAGCTGGTTTCTACTTTCACTACAGCTAGGAGGAAATTCTCCAAACAAAGATAACCACTCATATAAATCCTCAACCCATACTTAAGGCAGGGAAATGTTAAGGCAGGAAAGGTTAAGCAACAAAAGATTAGGTCTCTGCTCTTTGAATAGTCTGTTCATCATGGGCAATTCATCAACCAGAAGAGGGTATTAAACAAAGGAACAAAGACTTTATCATCCCGCAGCCTTAAAATGAGAGAGCTCACTCCACTTATGGCACAGAAACATACTACCAGCAGACAGTCAGGATAGCCCTGCACCCTGAGATTAACAAGAGGCTCATTGTTTAATAATGACAATCCTTGTTTTATCTGTAGATCAAACTGGGGCTGCACTCCCATTTTGAACTTACTCCACCACAGCTATTTTCTCTACTAAAAGAATTCTAAAAGAATGAGGATACAGGTGCTTCTCTTTCCTTTTTAAAAAACCATAATAAGAGAAAGATTGAATCAAGGAAATGGAATAACTGAACACTGGGAATTAAACATTCGTTCATATTGAGCCAGAACCTTCCTATATATTATTATGCCTTGCCTTCTCTTCCATCTAATCATTTTCTCAATATTTAGCTTCTATACCTTGAAAATATTTTTTGAATGAACAATTAATCCTTTTCTATATAACCACCAGGTGTCACTGCTGAGAAAGGCAAATCATGCTATTAATCATACTCATCCAGGAAAACATGTTAAGGGCACTCACTTTCCTGCCCCTCTTCCTGTGGATAAAAATCAAAGAATAAATGAACTATTGTTCAATGTCAACATGGCAAGGGGTTTTCAGTAGACTACCCCAGGGATCTGTAGTGCTGTGGTATTTAATATTTTTTATCAATGACTTGGATAAAGACAAAGATAATATCAAATTTGCAAACAGAAAGCTAAGGAGGGCAGCTAACACCATAGAAAACTGAATCAGCATCCAAAAGGTTTTGATAGGTTAGAGCATTGGGCTGAATCCAATAAGATTAAATTCAATAGAGGTCAAAGTAAAGTCTTACATTTGGATACAAAAAAAATCACAAGTCTAAGATAAGGAAATTATTATAGACAGAAGTTGTTCTGGAAAAGATGGAGGGGGGTAGTTAAGTTGAATTTAAAGTTCAAAATGTGTCAGCAGTGTAATGTGACAACCAAAACAACAACAACAAAAAAAGATCCAGTGTGACATTTGGCTACATTAAGAAAGGCAAGCTTACAGGAGTAGGGAGGCAATAGTCTCACTGAACTCTGTTTTCACGAGATCTCATCCAGAGACATGCTCAATTCTGAGCACCATGGGAAAGATATTGATTAGCTGAAGGCTGTCTGGAGTAAAGCAAACAGAACGATAAAGGGCTTTGATTACATGTCATATGAGGATCAATTGAAGAAACGGCATGAAAAAGAGAAAATTCGGGGAGCAGCTAGGTGGCACAGTGGATAGAGCTGGAGCCCTGGAATCAGGAGGACTGGAGGTCAAATATCCTTGTAGTCCATACACAGAAATACTTCTCCCACAATAAGTTCACAGCTATGGAGGCCTTATGGTTTCTTATTGGAGTTGCCTGAGTATGCCTACTAAAGCCATCTATCACAACCAATATATGGCTCATATTCGTTATCTCCTTCCAGAGGCAGAAGTCAATGCAAAATGAATTCCAAAGGCTTTCTAGTACTTATATTATCCAAGTAAGCCATATGTGTTGATAGTGCTTTGCAAACAGTGAGCAAAAGTCTCACATCTCTCAGTGATATCTGTCTTGAATCAGTAAAATATTTTTCTTTCAACCTCTAGAATCCTTTCTTAACTCATATGTATAAAACCATGACATAAAGCTTTCATGGCCATTGAGTGATATGAGTTGGGCATCCAACTGCTTCTTGATACTATGAGTGAGATTAACAACAGTCTATTACAGTACTCTATTGCACAGCTCCACCTTCTGCCATTGTCTCAACAATACAGTGCCATTAGAAGCTGGCACTTGAATTATTTGACAATGCCACCTTACTTAGTCTTGGCTTGTGTTACTTCACACAGCCCTTTGTCAGTTTTCTGTTTCCTTTAGATGATACACAGGCAACTGAGTCAATGGAAGTTGGTTCAATGAAATGAGATTCATGTATGCTGCTGATATGCAGTCTGGATCTGGTGGGTTATCCATACATATCCCACATCCCATTCATCCAGTGGAAACATGTGTTTCCAATGCCACTTCCAGGTTCTTGATCTACTACCATCACTCTGAAACTTCTCTTTTGAGGTTTACTCATTCCATACGTACCACTCAATTAAAATTCTGGTAGTTGTTTCCCAACCTCCAGGACACACCCCTTCTTTCCTCAATGAATTCAGTGCCTAGCTTACAGTCTTCCCTCCTCATTCTAGTGGACTTTAATATGTATATTGATACTCTCTCAAACACCCTAATTTCGCAGTTCTTCAACTTATTCATTCCTCCACAATCTACTCCTTCACCCTCCCTCAGCCCACACAAATATGGGCATATCCTTGATCTTACCATCACCTACAAATGCAGCACTTCCATATTCGTGAACTCTGAAGTTCCTTTGTCTGATCACAATCTGTTGTCATACAGTCTTTCTGTCTTGCAACTCCAAACCTTGTTTCTCAGACACACTGACTTCTAAGCCCTAACCCCGAAGTTCTTTCCCAGATCATTCCTGCACTAGTTACACCATCTTCTCTTCTTAATCTTGTCCATTGATGAAGCGGTTCAACTCTATACTTCCCTCTTCTTTTGAATCTGTTGCTCCATTATCCTATCACTGATCTTGCCCTGCCAAACCTCAGTTTTCATGCTACCAAATGAAACTGGAGAAAAACACAAAACTGTGCTGACTGGATCTACAGAAATTTATGTTACGTAACTTCAACTGAGTCATTATTACTGCAAGGCAATCTTTTAACACCACCCAATTAACACTCACCACAGCAGCTCTTTCAAAATTTTCCATCCCTCAAAACTCCCATGACTAGCCTTGCCCCTAGCCTCCTGAGAACTTTGCCTCATATTTTACTGAAAAAATGAGGGCCATTTGCAAAAACAAACAAAAAAAAACATTCCCTCTTCTCTCCTCTTCCTCATATCACATCACTCAGATGCCTTCTGCCACTACTTCTTCCTTCATCCCATTCTCATATAATGAAGTGGCCCTTCTCCTTGCCAATGCAAAACTCTCATTTTATTCCAGCAGACTTCCTCCTTTTTATTCTCATTCTCACCCGTCTTCAATCTTTCCTTGTCTGCTGGATGCTTTCCTACTGTCTATAAGCATTCCCTCATCTCTTATATCTTCAAAAAACCCTCATTTGATCCCTTTCTGCTAGTTTTTGTCCCATTTGTCTCCCTTTTGTGGCTAAATTCCTTGAGAAGGCCATTTACAATAATAGGTTCCACTATTTCCTTTTCTTTCACTCTCTTCTTAACTCACTACAGTCTGGCTTCTAACCTCATCATTCCACCAAAACTGCTGTCTCCAAAGTTATTAACGGTCTCTTAATTGCCAGATCCAATTGCCCTTTTCTCAATTATCATTCTTCTCAACCTCTCTGTAGCCTTTGACAATGTCCATCATCTGCTACTCTTTGGTTTTTTGGTGACACTACTTTCTCCTACTTCTCCCACCTAGCTAACTACTTTTAGTCTCCCTTGTATTTTCATCAAGGTTTTACCCGCTGTGTGTCCCTCGGGGCTCTGTCCTGGGTCCTCTTCTCTTTTCCCATTATACTATTTCACCTGGTGATCTCATCAGCTTCCATAAATTCAATGATCATCTCTATGCTGATAATTCTCACATCTATTTATCCATCCTTAATCTCTCTGCAGACTTCCATTCTCCCATCTGAAACTGGATGTCCTGTAATTCAATATATCCAAAACGGAACTCGAAGTCTCTCCTTTTCTTAACTCCTTTAGTACTGTTGCGGCTACCTCCATCCTACCACTCGCCAAGGCAAAAGGGGCGGGCCTCTCCATCCCATCAATGTTCTGATTGGTTCCCAGCCTTGAGGTTTTCAGATTCCGGGGTTTCACTTTCGTCAACAACACCGGGAGAGCGCGAAGCCAGCAGGTTTGTCCACGCTGGCTTCCCATAGTCCACAGGATTTCCGGGATACTTCAGTCGGGTCAGGGCTGGACAGGGCTGGGATCCTGGCCGAGTGTACCCGATGGCTGCTGTGTTTCTGGTGATGCTCTACGAGTATTCACCACTCTTTTACATCGCCGTGGTCTTCACCTGCTTTATTGTGACCACCGGCCTGGTGCTGGGATGGTAAGGGGCCTGGGGTGAGGGGGGAGCCGGCTTCTAGGCCGGGCGCGGTGGGAAGTCGTGGTCACCGGGGAGGGGATGACAGCGGGAGGAGACGAGGGCCGCGGCCCCGAGGCCCGTGGGGAGTCCACTCTGACCTGCCCCTGGCCCGACAGGCAAACACCCCAGAGGCGTCATGGGCCGTAGGATCCTACGTCCCTCCCCAGGAGTGTGAAGCAATAATTAGTATTTCTACGTGCTTCATCAACTTACTTTCTAGGCTGAATATTGAATTTTTCTTTTTGTCCCTTATTTAAATCTGGAAGGTTCATTTTTTTTTCCTAAGTAAGGTTTGCTGAAATTCATTGGACAGATAATGGTTATGTTCTTAACAGTGCACATAAGAAAGAAATTAAAAAAAATTGGGCCTCTCAAATATCAGTGCAGTCTAGTTTGAGAGAGAATGTAGATGAAAAAAGTGCTGAAAGTAGAAAAGAGCTTGCAGTGATTTCTAGGAAAGTCAGGTCATGTGAAGAACATTTTTATGTTGAAACTGGAAGGACAACAGAGATGTCAAATGGAATAGGGCCTGACTGGCGTTTCTTTAACAATGTATTCTAATTGGTTACATAAAAGAACGATCACGTTTGGACTGTACTACTTGGAGTACAATGAGAGGGAGTTACAGTGACACTTGAGATGAAGTTGGAAAGGGTGACTGAACCTGACTGCCTTACAGAGAGAAGAAATCCAAGTTGGAAGGGGCACAATTTTAAAAGCATTTAAGGGCAGATTTTTCAAGATCTTAAAAAGGAGAGGAAGCTTCTAAAGTATGGAAAAGATCAGACATGATAAAGCAACAGAGAAGGCATCAGATACTACTTACTTATATGCCTACTTTTCTCATTCTTAAAAAAAAAATCTTTGAGAGTATCGTATGCTTATATTGAGGGTATCCTTGATAATTAGAAGAAAAAAGTCAGCTTTCATAGCTGACCACATCTTTATAGACTCACAATTGACCTGAAAGGCATATGGAATATAAGATATCACTTTAACTTATTTATTGATGTTTAAAAAGCATTAGCTCTGACTAAGGACTGACCTTTAATGAGGTGTCTCCAAAGCACACATTAAAATTATATAATTCTAAGGGGGGTGTGAATACCAAGATAATTTTGTTCTGTGATAGGATTTTGACATCAAGAGAGACTAAACTGGAAAACATATGTTTACCTAAGAGGTTTTCCACTATTGAAGAAAATGGAGTCCAAACAAAAGACTTTTTATTGTTGATCTTGTCCATCAAATTATTTTAAAGACTCAAAAGGGACCTCAAAGATCAGGTAGTCCAGCCTGTACCATTCACATTTTGCTAAAGATTATATTAGAATGACCTCTTAAGAGCCTTTCCAATTCTGAGGTTTTGTGAATACAATATCATACAATATCCTTTATAGGTATCATCTAGTTATGTTACCAGCAAAATGTATGAAAGCTGGGGGTAGAGGGTGGGGTTGTATTACTTTTCTTTGCCAACCCCAGAACATAAGAATTATTTCACAGAAGTAAACTCATTACAGCTAATTTCACATGATGACAACTCCCTACTCCCCATCCTGAACAATGTAAAGAACTCATGAATTAACAATAGAGAATTCTAATACCTAGAGTTCTAATGGCACCATGACCCTGCCTGCCATTCTGAGCACAAGTCTGTGACTCAGTCTGGTCTTAGGATGCTTTGTAGCTGTAATGATCCTGACTGAATGCTTGTAGTACCCTCCCACCACTACACAGAAAGCAAAGACACTGATTCTGCCCAGTCAAGTGAAGGAAAGGAGGAGGAGGAAGTGGTCTAAAAATGTACTGTCTTGTTACTGGGGCCTTGATTTAGAATCGAGATTCCCCAGCCCCCTCATCCCACAATAAGTGGCAGCTGCTGATTCTGTCCAGTCATAGGAAGGAAAGAAGGAGAGCATAAGAAGGAATTGGGCAGATTCAAAAACATGCTAGGTACCCTACACTATCATCCTCAGGCTGAAGATGAATAGCCCCTTAGGCCTGACATAAATGGGACCAGAAACCACCTGGGACCAGTTGTGTCCACACACACACACACACACACACGTACGTGTGCTCCTTACTCCAGATCTAGCCTGGAACCTGTCCTCTAACCCCTTTGCAAGGAACACAGAATCTGTGCCTACCCTATAAGCTAACTCACCATTCACCCTAGGATCCTTACCATCCCAGCACTGGAGCTGGAAGTGTCCAACCCTCTCATTTTACAGATGAGGAAACAATCCCAGAAAAGTAGGTGATTTGCTTAAGGTCACTCTAGTAATTGTGAAAGGTAGGATTTGAACTAGAGCCTTTGACTTCATAGTCCGTGCCCTTTGTGTGCCATGTTGCTGGAGAAGTGGGGAGAGGAAGAAAACCAAAAAATAAATGAAGGGGAAAACAATGAAAAGACTAAAATGCCTAAAAAGTGAAAAGAAAAAAGCTTCAATAAAAGCCCAGTACACATGCAAATGTTCCATTAGAAAAGATTCTAAAAAGAGAAGAAAAAATGAGCAAAAACCTCCAAAAAAAACCCCAAAGTACACTTAAATATTATAATATCAAGGTAAATGAACCAGTAGTGCCTAATGAATGAATCCTGTGGACTCCCCAGAGATAACGGGATAACAGCAAGAAATTCAAGAATGGTTTCAAATACAAATAAAATTACTTTAAAAAAACAACAACAACCAAGTAATCATTTATCCTTCATTTGAAGACCTTCCCCACCCCTCACCTCCTTTGGCAGGAAACCAACTATCCTGTGAAGTAACCCCTCCTACTTTTAGTTTGTTCTCATTTTTAGGAAGTTTATTCTTCTAATGAAATCTGGCTTTCTGCAACTTTTCCCTTTTCTTCCACCTTCTCCTCTCTGAGATCAAGTAAAATAAATCTGATCTTTCCTTTCCATTGCAGCCTTTTATATATTTGAATTTGATTATCTTTGTTTCTCTAGGCTAAAGTTCTTAGTTCCTTTGATTCTTATATCATGGCCTCCAGTATTATTTTCTGGTCAACCTTCTGCAGATAATCTACAGTCTATTGATGTTCTTCATAAAATGTGGCACCCAGAATTGGGCACATTATTCTGGATATGATCTGACCAGAATAGAGTACTTCAGGCTTTTTATCACCATCATCCTGGACAACAGAATTATGCTTAGCTTTTTTTGACTGGCATGTCACACACATACCATTGTCTCATCCTGAGCTATATTACAGTCCATCAAAAATGCTTTTTTTGACTGTCATGTCACACATATACCATTGACTCATCTTGAGCTACATTACAGTCCATCAAAAACGTTTTTTGTCCAGTCAGTCACACATCGCCCATACTTTACTGGTGCAGTTGAGTTTTTGAGTTGTTGACTTGTACCATGCTGTGGAGATAGCAGGATATATTGTATAGATTGCTGGACTTTAAAGTTAGAAAACCTGGTAGTATAACTCTGAAACATAATAACTGTGTGACCACGGACAGATCATTTAACTTCTCTAAGCCTCAATTTCCTCATCTGTAAAATAGGAAACTATAGTATTTAGCTTAGGGTTGTTTGGGGGATCAAACAAGATAACATATGTAAAGTGCTTTATGAATAAAGTGCTATGTGAATGTCAGTTATTATTGTTATCAGATTTAGTCCATCTTTCTGGCCTGCTTTGATCTTTTTGAGTCCTGAGTTTGTTGCCTAACATGTTAGTTATCCCTCCTAGTTTTCTGTGATCTATAAGGTTGGCAAGCATGCCATTTTTGCCTTTATTGTATATCAGACCTGTCTGGTAGTTTAGGTTTGAGATTGGAGTGAAATAGGACACTTGGTCATTTGATAGTTAATAAATGAAAGTAAACTCACTTTTACTTAGCAGTAGTTTAAAAAAGGATGTTCATTAGGGACAAGGTAGTAGTTCAATAGATATTGCCTTTGTACAGAAATGTATATGGGCAGATGTCGTGACTCACATGGCTATGGGATATCTGTTAAGTCTAAGAGGCATTGACTTCTTGTGGGCTGTCCTTTTAGGTGACCAGGAAGCTAAGTTAGAAAGCAAGGCAGCTTGCAACAATACCACCTCTTGATCCCCCAAACCTGTTTTGGGAAGGATTTGTTTGAACCATTCCTGGTGAAAGGAGACCTGTATTCACAGAGTGAGCTATTTCCCCAGGGTGTATTCTGTCCCCTGGGGACAGAATAAAGGAATATCAGAGAGGATCAAGTAGAATTCTGTCCAAAAACAGTCAATCCTAGTTAGCTAAGTCTTCTTGAAGGCTGGATCTGAGAAACAATTGGACCAGAGAGCCCTCCCTTGCCTAGAGTTGCTTTGATTTGATATGAGCATGGTTTCTGAGAGGTGGAGTATCCACTCCTGATACTCAGAGGCATGTTGACAAAGCTGCTTAGCAGGGACAAATCTCTTGCTCTGAGGTGGGAAAGAGGGCCAGTTTGCCACTTGGGGACAGGTGGAGGACTATTTGGGATAAGTGGGTACTCTGGCATGAGGTACCCCATTGGGAAAATGAAGTATCTCACCCTTGGGATCATATTATCCCTGCCTAACACAACAGGGCACCATGTCGCCTATATTCAGGTAGGCAATGGGTCCACTCCCCCAACTTCTGACAGTCTCATAAGGACATCATCCTATTTCATTTCAAAATGGGGCATAATATATTTCAGGTGCTGATACACCCCACAGACAGCTAAAGGGGGAAGACATTGGCAACCTTTATTGGTCTTGACTGGAAAAGGATTATCCATTCCAGTCTTTTCTAAACCACAGACCACTTGGCAAGATTCTGACTACCACCCAGGAATCAATGTAAATGAAGATCTTATCTGACCTGCCCCTCAAGGCTTTCTTACACACCTGTCATGCAACTTTAAGTTCCTCTGCCACCATGGGCTCATCCAGCTTGATCAACATTATTTCAACCACATAGTGATGAATGCCAGTGCTTTCCAAAAGTGGAGTCTTTTTTTAGGTCTCTGCTCACCAGAATATGGCATTATGAGGGAAAGTTTTTTAGGTCAGCAAAGGAAGGGTAGTAAAGGCATATTGGACTCCTTTCTAGGTGAAAATGATCTTTCCTGACTAGTCTTAGACACATAATTAGAGGTGGAGGAAAGCATTGGTGAGATTAAAAACTCTCAACCACTTTCCTGCAGCTTGAGCTACATAATCTATCACCACTGACCAGGTCAGAAACAGCTTCTGCAGTTAACATGCCACCTTTATTCACCTCCCTGTAATCCACTCTGTGTTGTCATGCTATCTGTGTGTCTCAGCAGGACACACAGAGACTTCGTAAGAGGAATTTGTATAGTGAAGTGCTCCAGCCTTCTTCATCTTCATCACTAGTGAGGAAATATCTTTCACACACACACACACACACACACACACACACCCCTAGGGACCTGTTATTATTAACTCCTGGAATGGCTCAGACAACTCTAAGGGACTTCAGTTTTGGTCTACTCACCGTAATTGCTATAGAGGTTACCAAAAGGACCTATACAAGTATCAAGTCCCAAGAGCTCATGATGCTTCTTCCCTTAGATGTGTAAGGCTTGGGTGGGGACAAAGGATATTTGTGGGCTCCATTATCAAATATCACAGTACAGTTTCACCAGTATCACCATAGTCTGATCCTCAGTTGCCTCTTAACCCCTTGTTTCAGCAACCACAATCAAAGCACCCTCTGTACACCTAGCATTTCTTCTTCTACCTGTAGAGTGCCATTTATACCAGCAGCTGTAGTTGTCCACAAGGCCACTGTGATTATTTTGATTTTCTGCTTACATATCACCAGATTGGGGTAGCAAGGTGGCACAGTGGATAGAGCAAATCCAGCCTCAGACCAGACACTTCACACTAGCTGTGTGACCCCAGGCAAGTCATTTAACCCCAATTGCCTAAAAAAATCACCAGATATTTGTCCACTCCTATACAATGGTGGGCAGAGGAGACCCACAGCTAAAGCCTCCTGCCGTATAAGTGAAGATGGCTCTGCCCAAAAAGTGGAATCTAATTGCCCGTGAGAGCCTGGTAAGCCTATGTTGGAGTGATATAGATCCAGTCCACCGAACTGATCTCTTAAAAAATTTCACACCTTCTCTTGCAGACCCCTAATGAAGAACAAGCAACATAAGGAATTCATCTTTATGAGCAACTATCCATCTTAGTCACTTAAAAAGGGACATAAGTAGGCCTTTGCAAAAGTAAGTCCTCTGCAGTCTCCTTAAGCCATGGAACTTTGGGGTGGAAAAGGATTCTGCATTGGCTGTATTAGAACAGGTTCTCATCAGCCACTGTTCCAATGACTCATTAAGTTGCTGTTTAAACTTTTCCTGCAATTTCCTCAGGTCCTTGGTGAAGGAGACTGAGAGGTGGGAGGAAAGTTATAGGATAAGTAAGAAGCTTTCTTACCATTGATGAAGTTTCCAGTTCTCATACTAATTCCAACTTCATCCAACTATTATTCCCTTGCTTCCTCTTTGTTCTCAGAAGGATTAAATTCTTTCCAGCAAAACCTGTGGGCAGCTGGGTGGCACAGTGAGTAGAGTACCAGGACAATTCGTCTTCCTGAGTTCAAATCTGGCCTCACACATTTAGTCACTGTGTGACCCCAGGTCAAGTCACTTAACCCTATTTGCCTCATTTGTAAAATGAGCTGAGAAGGAAATGGCAAACCACTCTATTATCTTTGCCAAGAAAACCTCAAAATAGGGTCATGAAGAGTTGAACACAGCTGAAATGACTGAACAACAACAAAGCAAGATCTTTGGGTCAGAGACTATATTTTTTGCCCTTGGTCTGTGGGTTCCTGCCTGAAGCCTGTAGGCCTCTGCCCCCATTAGCATCACTACTTTTAATTGTGCTGTCACTAATTCTAGCAGCTGCTCTGCCTTCATGGCACTGTGTTTAAAAACCAAGAACTTTGTCTCTAGTTGCCCAATATGCCAGGTCAGTTCACCTTCATTTTCCTTATGCTGGAAAATTTCTCTAGGATCATTAACAATAATAAAGGAATTCTGGACCTGGTGCTTTCTTTAGCCTTTCTATTAGCCAACTTTAGCATCCCTCCACTGAGCTAATTACTTTCAATCATGGAGGGAAGGGGGGAAGTTGGTTCTTCCTGTTCCGTTGAGAGGATATGCCAGCAGAAGAGCCCTTTCCACAGGGTGCCACACTGCTCTCTGACCATCTTGTTACCCCATTCTTTGCATTTACATTGCCTTTCTCTCATTTAAACCCAGTATGAGTCATGATACTATTTTAACCCTGTCCCACCTTTGACTGTCAAAATATTGTAGGCCAACTTTTACTCAGCCTGGTCAGGTAGTTTGGGTTTAAGACTGGAATGAAATGAAGTACTTGCAGCACATTTAATAGTTAATAAAAAGGATGGAATGGAAAGGATATTTAGCAAAGATATAGCATTAACTCAGGTAGACATGGCCCTCATCTCTAGACAGGCCCCCCAGGTAGAACCTCCCTATCTCTATACAGAAATGCATCTACTCAGTAATGCAAGGAATAGTGACCTTGCAAGTTCTTTATGGGCTGGTCTCTTGTGCCCGTAGGTTAAAGCCTAAGTTCCTAGACAACCAAGACTCACACCATAGCCTTCAAGTAACTGACAAAAATGTTAATCAGGGGCAGGTAGGCTGCACAGTGGCTAGAGCTCCAGCATTGGAGTCAGGAGGACCTGAGTTCAAATCTGGCCTCAGACACTTGACACTTGCTAGCTGTGTGACCCTGAGCAAATCACTTAACCTCTATTGCCTCACCAAAAAGCAAAGAAAAAAAAATGTTAAGCAGAACAAGTCTAAGGAGAGATATTGAGAACATTCTAATGAGACCTCTTCCTAGATTGAGATTGATCCATTGGTGATTATTCTTGAGTCTTTCCATTCAATTTATTCTAAATTTGCCTGACGGTATCATATTTCAGTCATGTTTCTTCCTGTTGCCCACAAAGACTTTGTTTTTAATTTTGAAAGATGTTGTAAAATCTCTTTCTCAAATCCAGCCCTACTGAATCCTAGCTACTGAATTCTACTAAAATACCAGTCTAGTAATCATACTAAAAAAAGAAATGAGGATGATCTGGCATGCCCTATTTTTCCCGTTATCTGTTCTTAATGAACCTATGTTGGCTTAGTCTTTATCATTTACCTGACTTTCCAAGGGCTCACAAACCATGACTTTAATAATATGCTCTAGAATTTGGGTAAGAATCAAATTAAATAGCATAGAGTTAAGAGAATCAATCTTCTTCCCTGTTTGAGCATCAAAACAACATTTACCCATCTACAATCCTAAAGCATCTTCCATTCATGATTCTTCAGAGATCAATAAGGACCATTTGAAACCCTGGTATGTAATTCATTCAGGCCTTGTAATATGGAATGGTAGAAGACAGGTAGCTTACCTCCGCACTTACTTTGAGTTTCGATTCCTTGTTAACCACTTTGTTCTCTCTTTCCTTGTCTGAAGATTGTTCTTCATAGTAGAGAAAACAGAAGCAAAATCAAAGTTGTACATAAAGTTATGCAGTGGATGTAGATAAAAGCCTCGGGTTCAAACATATTTTGAGGCTCTAGGCCTTCACTCTTTTGAACAATAGCCAGAAGCTTATTAAGATTTGGAAAGCTCTCCAGAATCAAAATGGTCTATGTAAAGGGCAATTGAAATTTAAAAATATTGTTTGGCCAGTTGGCTAGTCTGATCCCTCAGCCATAGCTATTAAAAACTGATATTCTGAGTCTGTACTGAGTGTTCTAATACAAGTTTAATTCATAGAAAGTATATTTCCTTTTTTCTTTAACTCCACAGATCTTGCCGTATACTTTCTTTGTCTCTCTCCTATACTCTGCATGGGAGAGGTGGGATGTGTGGTGGGTGGAAGTGGGGGGTGGGGTGGGAGTGAGGTGTTAACCCTGGTGATTTTGTTTCTTCAAGAACCAGTCAGGGAAGTTGGGCCCAAATCAGAAAGACACTAGTTACACTAGACAAAAGGCTTAATATAATACTATTTTTTCTCTAAGGTTGTAGGTTATGCAGCACTCTGAAGTGGCAGATTCTCTTCTCCAGCAGAGTTAAAGTTACCAACACTGTCACCCTGCCTTTTAATGCAATCCTAATCTCTTAAAAGATTAAATTCTTTAAAAATTTTCATTTTATTTTGAACTTATGTACTAAAAAAAAGTATTCTTGTACACATAGCAGAACACAAAAAGGATTCTCTGTGAAACTGTGAATCTCCATTTCATTCTTCTTGCTTAAAAAAAAGCGTGTAATAAATTCTTCCTGAATTTAAATTCAATACTGCCCTGATTGTGCTTCCTTCTGAACTTCCTATTTTCTTCTGTGCATTTAAAAAAAAATGTTGTTTCAGGGACCTTTTCCCTCCATAACTATTCCTAACCCCCATCTCCTACCCGCCTCATCCCCCCACCATTAAAAGCCAAGAGAAGGAGGGAAGGAGAACAGCCTTATAAAAATAAGTACTGTGTAGTCAAGCAAAATGAATCCACACCGCAGCCATGTTCAAAAATGTTTCTCTTTATGCTCCGTGTGTACAACAGCTCTGTATCGGGAGGTGGGTGGGTAATGCAGGGTCCTGATTGGTTCGCAGCTTCAGGTACTCGGGTTAGTTGGCTTCCGTGTGCACAAACACCCTGCGAGCGCGAAGCCAGCAGGTTTGTCCACGCTGGCTTCCCATAGTCAGCGGAATCCCTGGGTGGGTTTCAGTCGGGTCGTAGCTGGACAGAGCCTGACAGGGCTGGGATCCCCGCCGAGCTTCCCCGATGGCTGCAGTGTTTCTGGTGATGCTCTACGAGTATTCACCGGTCTTTTATATCGCCTTGGTCTTCACCTGCTTTGTCGTGACCGCAGGCCTGGTGCTGGGATGGTAAGGGGCCTGGGGGGTGGGGGCTGCGGCTTCTAATAGAGGCAGGGGGGCCGGGCAGGCTGGGCGCTGTCCACTCTGGCCTGCACCTCGGCCAGACAGGTGAGCTCCTCACAAGCGTCATGGGCCATAGGAAAGCCCTTCCTCAGGAACGTGAAGCAAAACGAAGTGCTTCATAAACTACCTTTTGGATTGAGTATTGAATTTTTCTCTTTGTCCCTTATGTATTTGCAAGGTTCATTTTTTTCCCCTAAATAAGCCTTACAGAAATTCATTGAACAGGTAATGATTGAGTTATTAACAGTGTGCTTAAGACAACGAAATAAAAGATATAGGTCCCACTCTTAAGGACCAATGTGGTCTAATTTGAGAGAATGCAGAACACAAAAATTTTAAAGTGCTAAAAGTGGAAAAGAGTTCTAGGAAAATCAGACCATGTGAAGAACATTTTATGAAGGACAACATAGATGTGAAGTGAAATAAGTCCTGGCTGGCATTTCTTTAACAATGTATCCTAATTTGGTTACATCAAAGAACCAGTTAATCCAGTAAACATTAATTAAGCAACTAATATGTGTCAGGAGCTCTGTTAAACCCTAGGGATACAAAAAAAGGCAAAAAAGTATGTGGTCATATCATGTCATGGATCATGTCATGGAAATGACATTGTGTATAAAAAGATACAGCAGAGGCAAATGAGAGAGAATGGACAAAGGAAAGACCCTAACATTAAGGGGGATAGGGAAAGTTTCCTTGTAGAAGATAGGATTTTACCTGGGCCTTGAAAGAAGCTAGGGAAGCTAGGAAATGAGGATGAGTTCCAGGTGTGGGGTACAGCCAGTGGAAATGCATGGCACAGGCAGATAGAGTATATTATACAAGGTGCAACAAGGAGGCCAGTGTAACCAGATCAAAGAGTATGTGTGGGTAAGTGGAAAGGTAGGACAGTCCAGATTATAAAGGGCTTTGGATGACAAGTGGAGAATTTTATATTTGATCCTGAAGTTGGTAGGATGTCAATGCAAGCCTAGTAGTGACTAATATGATGGTGATATTCTTGACAGTAAAAGGGAAGTTAAGAAGAGGGAAAGATTTGGGAGCAAAAATAATGTTTTGTTTGGGATATGTTGAGTTTAAGATGTCTATGGGACCTCCAGTTCAAGATGTTCAAATATGAAAGCTGGAGATGCAAATCTAAAGATTGGGAGAGAGGTTAGGGATGGACAAGTAGATCTGAGAGTTAATAATTCGATCTATGGGAGCTGATTAGTTCATCAAGCAAAATAACATAGAGGAATAAAAGAAAGAAGGCCCAGGACAGAGCCTAGTGGGCGTGACCTTTCTCAAGATCCTACAAAGGACACAGAGAAGTGGTCAGACAGGTAGGAGTGTCATGGAATCTTGGAGAGAAGAGAGCATTAAGGCTGTCTGAGGCTACAGAGAGGTCAAGACAAGTGAGAATTGAGAAAAGGCCATTAGATTTGGTGATGAAATTGTTGGTAATCCTGGAGAGGGCAGTTTTGGTGCTTGATGTGCAATGTGAGGGAGCTATGGCGGCATTTAAAATGAAGTTGGGCCCTGACCAAGGATAGGCACAAGAAATCCATGCTGGAAGGGACATAATTTTAAAAGTATTTAAGGGCAGATTTTTCAAAATCTCTCAACTAAAGGAAACTTCCAAAAGATGAAAAGATCATAGACTATAGACCAGAAAGCCATTTTTCCTGTTTGAGTTGGATCTCGTACTCAGAAGAGCAGGAGGTAAGACTTCTGGCTATTTCAGACCAGTTTCAGAACATATCCTGGCCACCTTAATTTTCAGCATACTATTATGTTGTTGGGTTGGGTTTTTTTTTTTGTTTTTGTGGGTTTTTTTTAAACTGTTCCTGCTGATTACTGGCTTAACCCTGTTTGCCTTAGTTTCTTCATCCATAAAAATGAACTGGAGAAGGAAATGGCAAACCACTTCAGTATCTTTGCCAAGAAAACCCTAGATGGGGTTATAAAGGGTCAGACAAGACTGAAACAACTTCTGTTGATTGAAGTTGATAGGGAGAAAGTGCTAATACATTTTAAAAACTTTACAAGCTTCTTTCATTATTTGGCCTGTTAAATGAGGCTCTTGATCACTATTGATAGATGTGATATACCAAATCATGGTATAAAACCTTTCAGCTGTCTTTTTATAATTGTCATAGAGTCTGCTTTAGCATCAACCCATTCTGAAAACATAGGTATGAAATGAGAATTTATTCACATTTACAACACTTAGCTATTTGAATAAAATTTACTTGAATGTTAACATAAGGACCTATCACATAGGCAGCTTTCTTTGTCTTAATTAGTTTCCTCAATGTTATGTACCTGGCAGCTGAGGCAAGTACATTAATACTACTTTTAGGTAATACTCTTAAGTCTCAAAGTCTGGTCCCCCAACCTTTGTGAGGACAAAATTATTTTCATAATAATATTAGGATGTTTTCATTTCTAATATGGTAAATGAAGATGGATATAACCTGCATGAGCAAATGCTCTTTGGGTCTTTGGTAATATTTCAGAGTATAAAGGGGACCTGAGATCAAAAAGTTCTAGAATTGCTGAGTTACCCTGTTAAAGGAAAATAGCTTACTAACCAATTTTGGATTGCAGCAACACCAGTTTGACCCCATTTGCTCCATTATTTCCTGAAGCATGCTTGGAATGATCACATTAGGCAGAAACAGGGCTTAGTCTTATAGAAGAGCACGGTATTCTAGCCTGAGCTGGGAAGAAGACAAAGTAGCAATTGCTCAACTTGAGTAGATAAGAAAGGAAAGGCCCCATCATTGTCTAAGGCCTCAGTCGGGGCTATCTGTCTCTAAATTGCCTGGCTTTGGATTGTATTTCTGAGAAAGCTCTTCTGGCACAGGTTTTATGAATTCTAGAAAACGGTGGTGCCAAAGTTTGTTCAGGGCCTGATTTTTCTTTCTGCATTTCATTTGCCACTTACTAGAGAATCCTATAGCTGACACAATAAGGAGAACCTTTATATTGGTCCCTGTCAAAGGGAAGAGGTTCCAATTCTGTCTTCTTGCTTTTGGGAAATCGGAAATTAGAGCCACTAGTCTGGGCTTAGTTAACGCCTGCTGAATGATCAGTTGTGATTTTAATTGTTTCTACTTCCGTTTTACCTTTATTAAGGTTTTTCTTCTAGTGTCATGAGCATCTCTATACATTTTTTATTTTATTTTTAATCTTCACTCTGCTGATTCAACTACATTTTAATTTCTTTAAAATTTTTTTTTCATTTCCTTATTCTGATGACTCCATACTGGCCCTGGCACAAGTTAGAAATGCGATAATTTATCTTTGTATTGCTTCAGTGTTTCACTTGCATTTTGGTATACTACAGTAACTTTTTTAACTTTACAGTTCTCGGCTTCCAAATAATGTTTCACAAGTTCCAGTTTTATTGTCAATACCGTTCCTTCCTTTTCCCCCAAACCCTACTGGATTTGTATCTTTTTCAAATTAGTAAAATCTTTTATGTATTGGTCTGTTAACTTTTTGTGTACAGGTATGCCACCCATCATATCCAAACTTCACAAGCTTCTTTTTTCTACATGGGTCCTACTTTGCAAATTTTCTCAAATTCATTGCATAACTTTGCTATTCAGTGATCTAAGGAGAAACTTCTACTTGTACAGCTTCTCTTTTTGTCTCGCAAACTATTTTCCAATTTGTTTTCTTACTTGAGAACCTGCACCTGAATGGTCTCTTCTAAAATTTTCTATCTAATTCTTTTTAAGCTAACTTTGCTTTACTAGACAATTGCAATCTGCCGGATCTTTCAGATTAGCCCACTGTGATAATGTGCCTGTGAACGGAGGGTCTTAACACTTTTTTCCATGTCTGACAATGACTTGGCATAATATCACCAGTCATATGAAGACTGGAACAGTCATAAT